CAAACAAACAGTTTTAGTTGTTTGCTGTAAATCGAAAGAACAAACTATTCCAGAAGCACAACTCCGTAAAACTGTAAACCAAACTAACTTTTAAATATGTAACCAGTGTGAAATTAGTTTATATTTTTCACAGTCGCCCCTCCCCCCAAAGAAATACAACAGAGTTGGTGCAAAATCATGATTCTTTGAAAATTTATGCGATTCCATGATAATGTGAAAGTACTAATATGAAAATGTCATTTAAAATTGAAATTTCAGACTCGGAAATCACTTTTTTTAGCGTAATTGATCTATTGTATCAGGGACGCCAATTGTGTATAGAGAGCAATCCCCCTCCTCCTCTCCTCCTTCAATAAAATTAAAATAACCTGACAATAAAGGTCCAGTTTTACACTTTCCAATGCCATGCTATATTGTTGTACCTTCACTTTAGAAAAATGCAAGACTTTGGTAAGAATTTTCCCATTACAAATTAAATATCAAATAGCATTGTTGGTTAAGATGTTGACAAATAACACTGTGCCGATTCAGCAAATACAAAACGGTAAAAAAAAACCTTCCGATAGGTATGAGGAATACGAAATAAGCTCGAAATCTGAACAACATGTGCAGATCAACAGCGCATTGGACACGTGAGATGGTTAAAATATATAGGGTGGCTATAGCTCACCACAACTCCCTCTTTAGCCCCACCCCTAAAGTCAGCTATATCTTCAGTATTGAACACAAAATTTACAATATTGGTATATCTGGATCACGTGCATGAACATTAATGAAACAATGTTTATTTAAATATTTCATAGACATAAGCTGTCGCCACAGTGGCTTAGCGGCAAGTCTGAAAACTCATACTACTAAAATTCGGATTTCGATACCCGCGATAAGCACAGCACATATACCCATTGTGTAGCTTTGCACTTAACATCCAACAAACATAAACCGTAGAAATAATAATGTACAAACAAATGAAGCTACAACCGACCCAATTACCACATAACTAACAAAGAATTCGCTAACAGGGTACAATTAGCTTAATACATTATTTAATGCCACATTTCCAAAAGTATTTGAATGTCGATTTTTTTTTACTCTTATTGTAACTAACATGTAGACTATTTAACAAGCTTAAAATTGTAATAATCAACACCTAGATATTAAAAGCAAATAGTTGAAATACGCAACGTGGTAGTTTTTTTTTATTTATTTCATAAAAGCTGAGTGTCTTAATTCGTGGAATATGATAATAAATCTGCTAAAATTTAGTGGAGTATTTTTCTTGGTTTTCTTATACACTGGGCTGGAGCAGCAAACCTCAAAGTCTCGCCGCTGCTGTAACTATCTATTCACTTATCCAACAAGATGTTAATAGCTCTGGCCCTCGGGTGGTTTGTATCCTTCCATCGAACGACATCAACAACTGATTTATATTTTCGATGTATTATTCAACTTATTTAAACCAAGAGAATTTTCGACAGCAAAAGTAAAAACAAACATCCCTATAAAAAGGAGCGACTAAATAAATAAGTAGTTAGTACACGGACTTTAAAGACTTTTAAGCTAGATCACGTGACAGATGCAAAACTACGTCACGAGCCACACATACAAATGAGCTAAGCACAAGGTGAATTTGCCCTCAACTGACGATAAGGTCTACCCAGGGGCGCAGGCCGGCGCGACGGTGATTAGACCAAGTCAGGCGGAACCACCCTGGGCTGAGAGCTGGGCGGCTGATATTATCGAATTCATTGGTACGGACAAGCAATAAAACAGCTCAGCCTAAAACGTTGAACGACAGTAGCATAATGTTGATGGCTGTCGTTGATTTCGTAGCTTGTACACGTTCATCTGTATGGCTTATTAATTAATAACTGTTGATTCGGTAGTCTCTAGTGCGAGACAAAAATATTCTCGAGATTGTCTTGTACAAACCAACAAACAAATGCGGTTCGTCTTAAAAGTATTGTGCGAGTCAACTGATTTGAGCATGTGCGTTTTTATCCACAAATATAATAAGTTATTAGAAATGTGTTTATCATGGAGACATCACTTACAAACAAAACACACACCAAACTTCTTTCACACGAGAACTACATAGGTTTGCTCGTAATTTACTTAGCACAATTCATCGTAGACTTTACATAGATCTTAAAAACAGGTTAAAACTTGAACGTGTCTAGCAAGCAACTTCATATTAACATCAAATTGCCAAGTACGAAATTGTTCTTGTCCCGACACGTCCAAGTCAAGCAAGATTTCAGCACAAATGTGGTATTAACAAGTTGGAACACGTTACGCGTTAGACATTACACTGCGATTAACACACATAGCATTACTTCTATATTCATTCTAAAATAGTTCAAAATGTAAATATATATCTTTAACCCTAAAATTAATTACTTGTTTTTATGCCGCTAACTGCTGGTGACTTCTGTATACTTCTTCATATTCAGTAACGTTATGTTTTCATGACACAGCGCAAAGAACAGGCCATAAGCATTGGGTGGAAAAAATAATTTTCTATTATGGACCTAATCGGCAATTCTGTAGTTAATATCAAACAAAACAGGTTTGTTATAGTGAGCACAAGTTGTCATATTCAGGGTGGAAAAATTCAACCAACAGCTGATATGTGTCCAAGAATGATATCACCAGCATATATATATATATATAGTAGTTCCCTATCTAAGCACTTTAGTACAGAGTTTAATATATTCTGTATATGACGTAAAAGACCTTTTCTCTCCTTCGCAGAGAATGGTATCTTAAACGTACTTTAAAAGCGAAGCTATGTGTATCGGCTCATTGAAAGCTAGACACCAAGTTAACAAGCCTAAACATGTAAAGACAAATGATCACTTTCACATCAGACCTGCAAATGTTCAATGACCTAATGTCCCACATCAAGACTTGTTTATACTGACGTAATAACTTTTAGTGGACGTGTCACGCTTGAAGCCAGATCTTAGTAGACTCTGAAAAAGTCATGTCTGACAGATTTAAGATTACAATTTAGATTTAAATTGCCCATACTACAAGTCTACACCACCCGTGTCTGGATTCCTGTACAGGTCTATGTTAGCACTTGGTGCAGCAGATAAGCATACTGACACCTATGTAAATATCCCACGATAATTATGCCAGAACTAACGTACTAGCCCTAAGTAGTTAAGTCTGATCTGATGTAACATACCACAGGAAACCTATATGATTTAGCATAATATGTTCCGCATCTGAAATATTGCACCATTCCACAATAAGTATGTCTGATCTGATATGATATCACACAGTGGATATGTCAGGTCTGGTGTATTGTCTCTTAACAATTGTATCAGATCTGATGTATTGTCTCATAGCAGTTGTGTCAGATCTAATGTATTGTCTCATAGCAGTTGTGTCAGATCTAATGTATTGTCTCATAGCAGTTGTGTCAGATCTAATGTAATGTCTCATAGCAGTTGTGTCAGATCTGATGTAATGTCTCATAGCAGTTGTGTCAGATCTGATGTAATGTCTAATAGCAGTTGTGTCAGATCTGATGTATTGCCTCGTAGCAGTTGTGTCAGATCCCGGTTTATTGACTCACAGCAGTTGTGTCAGATCCCGGTTTATAACTGCTGTGAGTCAATGTCAGATATGGTATATTGACTCACAGCAGTTATGTCACATATGGTATACTGCCCTACAATAATTGTCTGATTTGCTTTAATTGCCAACAGCAACTATGTCTGACTGGATGTATCGTCTCACAGTAGTTGTGTTACATAATGTCCCGAAGTGATTATTATCTTACTTTGTAAACTGTCTTGTTTCGTACAAGTACAACATTTAAAAATCACATGCAAGTTTCTAGTGAATTTAACGATAATTTTTATTGATTCAAATTGCAGTTAATATTCCAAACTGATGAAACATTTTTATAAGAACTTTTTATAAAGCAGTCTTACCATAAAGAGATCTGATATAAAGTCACACCCACAACAAGTTATGAACGACATAATGAGCCACGGTGGAGATGTCTAGTTTAACAAGACATTCCTGTTTGAAGCAGTGATGTTCCTTACAAAGTTTAAATCGTTGCAGTGCACCAAATCTCGTAAGCTTCGAGTAATGATATTATAGAAACAATGTCTCAGTTGTGGTAATAACCGATGACAACTAAACAGATTACCTATGTCATAATTAACCCCAGAATTACTGATAGTTTCCAGGGTTTTTTAAACAGATTTTTATAATTTATTCATGCACTAAATTGCTTGTGGATTAAGTCCATGACTTTGTTGTTTCCAGGCTTCCTTTCTTGTTTGTTTGTTTTAAAGCAGAGTCACATTAGGCTATCTGCTGTGTCCACTGCGGCGAATCGAACTTCAGATTTTAGTGTTGTAATTCCATAAACTTACCGCCGTCCAACCGGAGGACCCAGAGTTCCTAATTACTTGCGAGTCACATAAAAATTTAGACAAACTTACTCTTAATCCTACTAATTACAATAGGCAAAAACATAAAATTACTTAACATTGTGCAATACGAGGACCCGACTGGTAGTGAACGGTATAAAAATAAGTCTGTAATTTGAAGGATAATGTAAAACTTTTCAGAAAACTTGCTTCAATCAATGCTGTTCCCCACAGCGTAATGTACCGAATCATGTTTCATTTGATGCAATATTTCGCAAGAATGATGTAATATGTCTTATTAGACACGTCTTCACTGATATAAAGAGCGATAGACATCAATTTAAACACCAACGTCGTGGAAATATGCCATGAATTCGCATGTAAAACGTAGACTTTGGGTGTGGAGGAGAGGGGGAGATTCTAGCGCTAAGCACGAACTCCTAGAGCACATTCCGTACCTCACATGTTGCGTATCTTGGTCTGCACATTCCACGCAACCATTTGGACGGCGAACTACCTAGATGGCTCATTTAACTCAGCTGCTACGGTTACAAATCACCTAATTTAATGCTTTGGCGCCTTTGGCGTCACAGATCAAAACCGCGAGGTGTGGGTGATAGATAGTAATTGTCCACTCACTAGGGTAGCTTGAAAGCGAGAATCTTTTGTGTACAAGGCCCTCCCATAGAGTTTTCCCGTCAACAGAAAGAAACTTGCTCTCTTAATCAACCAGCCTGTCAGTTGGATCTTTGTCTTCATTAACTTTCCACGTACCGGCTTGCAGTTTCTCATAATTCTGTCTTTTTTACATCGGTGTATTTTCATGATAAAAACAGGAATATATACATATATTTTGTTCATTTACAATTATTCAGTAAATTCAGCTTACATAAAATGATGTTATTAGCAAGACAGATTTTTGGTTCGTTTTCTGAATCTGTAAACTTGCAATGAAAGGTTATTCGTTGATTTGGTTTTATTGCCGTTGACGCAACAAAACAAATGCAATACCATTGGAAAAAAAAGTCGGTTTCATAAAGATTATTTTAGCGTATAACTTTATTCTGGGCCTGAATATGACAATAAAAATTTCTGTAGTTTTTCCTTGGTAATGAATCAAGAACTTTTAGATAAAACCTTAAATGGCTAACAATTACGTGTATTTTGTCATGTTTACATTTCTAAATGAGAGTATAAAGGATCTGTGCATTTGTCCTAAATTAAAGTCAAGGTATGAGTGAAAGAAACATTTATTTTAACCTTGAAGAACCATAAGAAACGGTTTGCCAAACTCTTCTATTGATTTAAACGCATTTTTGTGTTACATCAAACAAACCATTAATTTAAGCTATAAGAAGTACTAATAGAAACAGGTATGGGAAAAGCTTTAACTTAAAAAAAGTAGTTTTATTTTAGCTTAGAAAACAACAATGACTAGTAATAAGAATGAAATTATTATGTTCTTTAGTACCTTGGGTGGTGGTTAAAAAGACCTTATCTTAGTTTAGACAGAATCCTAGATAATGATTAGGTATACCACATTTTATCTTGTACAGAATTTTTGGATAGAGGCTAGGGAGAGACCATAGCTTGGCTAATCAGACACTTGGGTGACTTCTTGATAGACCAGCTCTTGGTCTGAAAAGAACCATGGGTGGTTGTTGGATAGACTGTATCTTGTTATGGGCAAGAACTCTGAATGGTTTCTGGATAGGTTGTACCTTAGCCTAAACAGACTCCTGGATGATTGCTGGTTATACTTTATCTTGTTCTGGGCAGAACCCTGGGTGGTTTCTGGATAGATTGTACCTTAGCCTAAACAGACTCCTGGATGATAGCTGGTTATATTTTATCTTGTTCTGGGCAGAACCCTGGGTGGTTACTGGATAGACGGTACCTTAACCTAAACAAACTCCTGGATGATTACTGGATATACTGTATCTTATTCTGGGCAGACTGTATCCTAGCCTAAACAGACTCCTGGGGATTTGCTGGATAGATTTATCTTGTTCTGAGCAGAACCCTGGGTAGTTTCTGGATAGATGTGTACCTTAGCCTAAACAGACTACTGGGTGTTTGCTGGAAAGACTATATCTTGGTCTGGGCAGAATCCTGGGTAGTTGCTGGATAGACTGTATCTTTGACTGGATAAAACTCTGGGTGGTTACTGAAAGGATCCAATGTCTTGGCCTTGATATAATATTGGGTAATGGCTAGATAGTCCTTGTCTGGACAGAATCGTTGATACTGGTTAGACAAACGTAATTCTGGTGTGGACAGAATCCAGATTTGTGGTTAATTAGGCCTTACTTTAGCTGGACACGACCTTTGGTAGTGATAAGAAGAGCGTGTAAACTGACCAAGACAAAATCTCTGGACGTTATATAGAAAGATCGTATCTTCATCTAATTTCATTGTGATAAAATACATCCTTATCTTGACCTAGTAGCATCCTTATGTTTCAAAATACAGAGCATTACACGGGTCTGTATAAAACCCTGTCCTAAACACACACCTACGTTGGATAAGAAAAACATTTACCTTGGCCTGGACAAGTCTTACAGCAATGCTCTGGTAATAGAACTGGAGAGTCACAAGATGGTTTAGGGCAGACGTTCTTGATGTTCTTACATTTTGCTCTGGCAACAATCTTCCTCTTCCGTTGTACCTACAAAATGTAAATAGATAGATAATATTGTTGTGATGACATTTTGTATAATTCAAACTCTGTCCAATATCATTACATTCAATATCAAAACACACACACACACACACACACACACCAGTGGCACAATGGTATGTCTGCAGACTTACAATGCTAGAAACCGGGTTTCGATACTCGTGGATGGCAGAGCACAAATGGCCCATTGTGTAGCTTTGTGCTTAACTTCAAACAACAACAACAACAATATCAAAACACGTTCATTTGATCTATAAATACGTTTTTCTGGTGAGAAATAGATACAAATGGTTTATTTTTTAGTACGTGTATGTTTTCGCTCATAGATGAAATTTTAGAAAATACGCCTAATAAATTTGAGTTGGTTAAGTTTCCTTATCAAATTCAAAGAAACCATGAGTGAAAGTAAAGGAGAATATAATATGATATATCAACCACAGTACACCTAATATACACTGAGTGGTCACAAGTAAATAGACA